TATATATATATATATCTATTATTGGCTGGTAATTCCTGTTTCACTCTGTATTTAAGATTTTTAAATGAACACAAAATTACTGTAGAAAAGCGAACTTCAATGAGGTAATAATAACATCGTTTACAGTAAAAGTATAATTTTGAGCCGCGGCATACCGGCTCATAAAATGTCTGACGTTTTTGTTGTTGGTTTTTTTTTTCTTTTAAGTACAAACTCTTAGCTTAGTCGTCTTATGACCGATCTGAGATCTAATTACAGTTTTGGACTCATGAGGTCAAACCCTTTCGATTGATATATTTAACAATGACCAATATCTCGTAGATTAATTTACCCTAATCTTGCATGAAATAATTTCAATTTGAGGGTAGGCTGGTAAAGATCCTGATGAATATTTTGTTTGTTTTGAATTTCGCGCAAAGCTACACGAGGGCTATATGCACTAGCCGTCCCTAATTTAGCAGTGTAAGACTAGAGGGAAGACAGCTAGTCATCACCACCCACCGCCAACTCTTGGGCTACTCTTTTACCAACGAATAGTGGGATTGACCGTAACATTATAACGTCCTCACGGCTGAAAGGGCGAGCATGTTTGGCGTGACGGGGATGTACTCTTCTGCTACATTAATAGTATCTGTACATCACTGCTAGGGAAGCTGGTGTCAGTTTCATGATACACAAACGCACACACATACACATACATATATTAATTAGTTTATTGACAATCACCTTCATGGTTATTTGTTTGAGAGGATATAATTCAACCCAGTTGTCGAAATAATCTGTTGCAACCAACAAATAACTATTTTTTGTCCTAGAGTTAGGATAAGATCCCCTGGTTTCTTCTCCTATTATCTCAACAGGTAAGAAACAAGAAAAGAGTGACTGGCACTATGGATGCTGCTGCCAGAAGAAAGGTAATCAAGACTACTTGTCAAATTCAATACAAGAAAGCATGATCGAGCAGTGAATGACTAATGGTCGGCTCAAGTTAGCAAATGGATCAACAGCGCCAATAGTGATGAGAGCATGTGACAAATATCAAGAGGTGCCAACAAATCATAATATGCCAATATGTGAAGGCTATGTTGGGGACAATAAAGTGAAGGTTCTAAGAGATACTGGGGGCAGTAGTGCAGTAGTGAGAACCAGTATAGTATCCGATGATCAGATGACAGGCAAGGTATGCCTGTGTGTGCTAATTGGTGGGACAAAAATGGCAGACAGTATCACCAGTACCTTACACCTACCGGGAGTCATTGGTGATGCGAGTAGATTCTGCAGGTCATGTGATATCTGTCAAAGGATAATACCTAGAGACAAAGTAGCCAAAGTGCCATTAGAGGAGATGTCTCTCATAGAAGAGCCATTCAGAAGAGTCGTTGTGGACTTGATTGGACCACTAGAGCTTGTGTCTGACAAGGGCAACTGGTATATGCTGACAGTAGTCAACTATGCAACAAGCAACACATTATCTGGCTAAGATAGAGACAGAGAGAGTAGCAGAAGTCCTCCTGGGGATATTTTGCAGAGTAAGATTTCCGAGAGACATCGTGAGTTACAGAGGGACCCAGTTTACTTCAGAACTAATGCAGAAAGTGTGCAGACTCATCAGTACTCGGCAACTCTTTACCACCCCGCACAATCCTAAATGTAATGGACTTTATGAGAGTTAGTGGAGTTTTAAAATGCATGCTAAAAAAGATGTGCCAAGAGAAACAACATGACTGGGATAAGTATTTGCAGCCAGTATTATTCGCTTATCAAGAAGTCCTACAAGCAAGTACAGGATTTTCACCCTTCGAGTTACTGTTTGGAAAAACAGTATGAGGTCCGGTGCAAATATTGAAAGAGTTATGGATGGGACGAGAAGAGTCAGAGGTAAGAATCACATATTAGTATGTGTTAGACCTCAGAAACCGACTGAAGGAGACCTGTCAACTTGCTTGACAGAGTTTGTATGCAGCTCCAGGCAGTCTAAAGCACTTCTATGACAAGAAGGACAAGGATCAATGTTTCAAGGTTGGACAAAAGGTCTTAGTTCTGCTGCGTATAGACCACAACAACAAACTCACCCTGCAATGGAAAGGACCTTTTGAAGTACAGGAAATACTCACCTGAATGGCCTACAAGGTGAATGTGAATGGGAAGATCATGCCAATCTGTTGAAGAAGTATTTTGGGAGAGAAGAAGACCTAACATGTGTAGCTATTGAAACAGAGAAGGATATTACAGGTGTGGCCATCATAGATGCAGAACCAGGAGACAGTGGCTTTGTCTTAGAAGATGAGAACCTACTAGACCTAAGACCACTAGGTGGAGATGAAACATACAAAAATGTCAACACCAGCGAAGAACTGACTGGCAAGCAGAAAAAAAAGAATTGCAAGACCTACTGTGCCAGTATGCAGATATATTCATGGATAAACCAGGAAAGACAGACCTTGTGCAACGCAAGATCGAGACTACAACCAGGGGTCCAGGAAAGTGAAGCCCTATCAGATGCTTTATGCAATGAGAGACCTGTTAAAGCACGAAGTTGAGGGAATATTGGAAGCTGGAATCATCAAGCCTTCAAATTCAGCCTACTGTTAATTAGTTGTAATCGTGAAGAAGAGAAACATATCAAACCATTTCTGCATAAACTCTGGAAGCTGAACCTCGCGACGAAGTTCGACTCCGAACCTATGGGCAACCCAAAGGCCATCATGGCAAAGCTAGGTGGGACCAGGTTATTTTTAAAGATTGGAAAATTCCAATGGAGACGGGATCTAAAGAGAAGACAGCATTTGTGACACAAGATGGATGTTACGAATTTAAGCGAATGCCATTTGGGTTAGTCAACTCAGCAGCAACATTCAACTGCATGATGAGGAGAATTCTGCATCAAAATTGAGCGCTATGTAGATAACATTCTGAACACACACTGCAAGATGGGAAGACCACCTGAAGAGACTTAGACAGCTGTTCTAGTAAGTGAGGGCAGCAGGCCTCGCCATCAGACCATCCAAGTTTTACATAAGATATTCTGTGCGAGAGTTTGTTGGACATAAAGTGGGGGACCAAAAGATAGCAATGGAAAAGGAAAAGATAATCTGCATACAAGATACACCAGCTCTGATGACCAAGCAGCAAGTCAGGTCATTCCTGGGGTTAGCAGGATACTACAGGAAATTCATCCTAAATTATGCTGAAATTACTGCACCATTGACTGACCTGACCAAGAAAGTGGGAAAAACCACACCAGGTGGCATTTCAAAAATTAAGGAACATGTTGGGAAACCCACCAATTCTTAAAATGCCAGACTTCAACAAACCATTCATTGTTCAGACATAAGAACTGAGGCAGTACTCTTACAAGAACATGAAGATGGACTGTTTCCCGTAACATATATAAGTAAAAAGCTGCAAATAGTGAGAAGAACTATTCCATGATTGAATGAGAGTGTTCCAAAACTATCTATACAGGAAGAAGTTCATCATCCAGACAGATCATCTACCACTTGCATACATTTAGAGGTGCAAGATCGACAGTGCGAGGATCATGAGATGGGCATTGTACCTTCAGAACTGTAGGTTCCATATTGAAGCTATCAAAGGGACTGCAAATGCTGGAGCAGACTATATGAGCAAACTTTGTGTATGAACCAAGGACATTCTTTGTATATATATATATTGAAAAACATTTTAATATTTTATCTTGAAGAGCGGTATATGTC